AAAAGGTGGTATCAAAAGTTTCGCCAAGGAGATTTCAGTCTTAAAGATGAATCGCGTGCTGGACGCCCTGAAAAGATTGAAACGGACGAATTGCAAGCACTGCTGGATATAAACTCTGCGCAAACTGAAAAGGAGCTTGCAGAACAGCTTGGCGTTACGCAGCAAGCCATTTCCGTACGATTACATACGAATTTTACAAAAAAAAGCTCAGAACTTTTTTGTACACCTAATATTATATATATATTCATTTAAATGAATTAATTTCAGAAATGATAATTGCGTGCCGACGGTTGTCGGACTTTTAACGCAATCAATCTGAAATATTAATAATCCCCCCAAAGTTCCTAAATCTTAAAAAACTGTAATAAACTTATCACTAAAAATATAATATTTTATTATAAAATATAATATTTTTCGTAATAAATTTATTACAGTTTTTGCGAAAAATATATTTTATTATAAAATATAATATTTTTCAACATCTTAATATTCAGACCGTAGTAATCAAGCATCCCGTTTTATATTTTTATACACTTTTAATTTAAAAGTAACTTATTAAAGTAATTATACAGTGAAATGTCGATATATAATACAGTGCTAATAAAATTATAGATAAATAAATAAAAGCAATAAACAAGTGCTATCTATCATCGAAAATATGAAAAAGAAATAATTTTTTGAGGCGATGATGTTGTTAGGTCCGGCGGACTCGCACGACTCTTTTCTTTCGTAGAGATCTGGAATTCGTCGAAACACTAAAATTTTATCTTCTTTCCTTTTTTTTCTACCCTAAAAACTAAAACAAAAAATCCTCAAAGGTATCTCCTCGTGAATGTCGCTCCGAGATAAAAATCAATAATAAATACGTATGGAAAGCTTAAGACCAAGATTAACGGTCAAGTCGCGGACGATTCTCGCGAATCCGTAATTACAAAATCTAAGAAACGGCACGCGACGTTCAGAGGTAGATTCTGGGTGGTCCCGTGGCAATGATGCATGCGCGCCTTCTTAACGCACGAGACGAGCGTTTTCCCATAAAATCATAAAATTTTGGAGGACACTTTCCCATACTACAGATTCCTGTCAACATTCTTTTCTCCCCCAAAATCTTGACCAATCCAAGAGCAAAGGAAAATCCTACTACCAGCTAATGAAACCTATTCCACCAATCCAAATTTGAGTAATCTGAGGCGATTAGCATAAAAATCGCGGTTTCGCAGCCCTCGTCGCAGATTTTTCCCTAAGTTCTCAATCTACACTTGTCGTGATTTTCTCAAGCTACACTCTTTGCGCGATTTTCCTATAAGTTTAGAGAAGTTGTCGCGATACTCAAAAAGTTCCATCCGAATCCCTCTTTCTCCAGTAGAGTCAGTGTTAAAGAAACATCACCAGCCTTACACATCCTGGCCGGAGGACTTCCAACGATAAGCATCTCAGTAGTAAGTCAGTATATGTCTATTCTCTGGTTCCCTCCTCGCTTTATCTTTTGGTAATTTATTTCAATATTTCATTTTATTTTTTTTATTATTCATTTGTTTTATTTTATTTTTATTCTTTTCTTTTTTTCTTTGTCCCTTTGGACCTCCTACAAAAAAATGGAAACATTGCAGTCCATTCACGTTATATTGTAATTTCAATCTGTCGCCGTCGCCGCACGATAATTGTTCAGCCTGTCGACCGGTCGTTCGTGTCCGCTAACACTATCATCATCCAAGGAAAATTAGGCCAAACCCTCTCAAATCCACTCACCAAAACCTGCTTCTCTTTTTATTCTCTCGTTATTCTCTCCGTAACTCTTCCCTTCCATTCTGCCACGATACTTTACACACACACACACACACACACACACACACGCACGCACGCACACACTTACACATGTAAAAATCATAATTATCAAAATTGTACTATCATTGTACTAAAATTGTACAATTCATTTTCTTTTATTTTTATTCAAAATGTATGATCAATTTTGTTTCTTTATTATATTATACTATTATTAAATTAACTCCCCAGTAGTCTTTTTTTTTTAAATATAACCTCTCCTCGTATTCTTAAATTCTCCCGCGATTGCACTTCGTCCTCTCCCCAGTCACTTGGATTAAGTTCCATGACCGAAAGTCAGGGCATACGGCCGTACTGGCGCAGCTGGCGTTAAAGTGCGCCCCTCTCGGCGCACTGACCCAGTTTGGGCCCTTTTTAAAAGTACGTCTGACTCGTGTATCCGTTTAGCGGAGCACGAGCAGAGGTTTCCACTTCGTCCTCCGTTTGACCCTTGGTTCGTTAGGAGCCTCAGGACGAAGCGAAGCGCCTCCCGATTTGCGTCGGTCCTTCTCCACGGCTCCCTTGCGATCCGGAGCCTGGACACGACCAAATCGGTCTAACAATTCGGTTCCTTGTTACGTTTACCCCCTCAGCTCCGCATATGTGCAGAGCTTGGACGTAACAATGTAGCTTACGTAAAAATTTTGACATTTCGGATTTCGCATCACAATATCTCCGTTCGTAGAGATAAAATGAATGCTTATTATATAATTCGGACCCAAGCTATCAATTGAGTTCATATTTAGAACTCAATCGGTGCTTTTAACTCGCTGACTCACGTAAAAGACACGGGACGATCTCGCGCTGCGCGCAAGACACTACCTTGCCTTGATAGTTGTCAATAAGAAAATGCAGTACTAAAAAATTAATAAAAAATTCTAAAAATATTCTTGAGGAGAAAATAAACAATTTTTGTTTCTTGTAGTGTTTTTGTAAAGTTGATAGTACAATATTTGAGAAAAAAATTATTGAAAACCAATATTCGGCAATTTTTAGTAATTAATATTTTGTTAACTATCACGAAAATTATTATACTTACGGGACTTTTCGACTCACTTTAATTCGCTCTATCTGCCGACGAGCATTATCGACAGAATTATGTAACACCATGTATTTATTTTTGTATATTTAATCTTCTTCTAAAAAGTTTATTTATTAAGTAATTTTACATGGCTTTATATTAGTTTATAACTTATAATAAAACACATTTTTATAATTTAAATATAATAATAGTATTTTTCTCATGATTTTTTAAGAATATTATTTTATCTTTACCGTGAATAGTTCGACCATATAATTATCTATGTATTTCTTTCTTATAGCTAATTAAATAGATTTTTTTAATTCTCAATTGATAGAAATGTAACAGAATTTTAATTGTTACAATAAAAGTTTTATTCATATGTCCTCATCAATGTTTGCTTTCTCATTTTGTTTAAATTCGTAATATCATTATTGTGATGAGAAAATGCAAAGATCTTCCTGTTAAGTCTATTCCATAAATGTTAAAACTATAATATAGAATGGGCATGTAACTATTATCACTCATTCAATATAAATAAAAATATTATATTATAATATAAATTTACGTAATAAAAAAAGTAATACATTCACAAGAATAGAATATAATAGGAAATTTTTTTAAATAATATAATATGTTGAGAATAGGACCAACAAGAATAAATCTAAATAAATACGCGAAATCTATTTCAGTCAAAACAAATCTTAGTGATTAAACACATACTTCTGTCTAAATGTATATACATTCAGATTCCGTATACCTCGCACCGAAACCTTTTTTTGGTTTTGAAACACATTCATCAGCACCAGAATAATAATATAATTTATTAGCACACAAAAAATATTAAATCATAAGCAATTTAATATTTTCTTTATATAAATAAAAAAATTATTAAATTGCTTGTAATAATTTTTTTTTTATGTTAATAATCATTTTTAGTAAGACTATCTACAATAAGATTAAGAAAATTTTAAATATGTGAATAATTTATTGTAAAAAATATTGCATCGACCAATAATTGAACTTAAATTATAATAATATATAACTTGTGTCCATATATGGCGCTTAAGAGCGAAGCAAATGTATTTTTAGTTATCGAGAGTGCCCTCTCTCTTTTTTTCTGAGTTAAGGTGATTTTTAACATATATTGAATAGAGCATCGCTGTTCTCTTACGTTAACAAGAATTGTGGTTAAGTGCCTTCCTATACCTCCGTCCAAATCGAAAATATAATAATATATTTGATATATTAATAAATATTATGTTATAAAATAATATAATAAAATTATATATATATGTTAATACAGCAAAATATACAAAAAATGTATAATATATACAAAGCAATAAGTAACAAAAAGATACAATAATATTTTTAAAATATAACTAGAAAGTTAATATATATTATAACAATTTAAAATAAATTAAAAATAATAGTTTATTAAAAATTTTTTAAATTATAAACGTTTCGATTAACTAATGATTATATTATTCTACTCACCAACATGAAGAATCGGCTTGGTCGCCATCTCATGAAGTAATTGGTCCACATACTTTGAATCTTCGGAGTATAACTGCAACCTCGAGATTTGAAAATGGAATTTCTCCAAAGTTGTGCTATTCTTTCTGCAATAAAAGAATTTTTATTTTTCTACAATACCACATATTTGTATTAATATGAAATGTAAATTAAAATTATATGCATTATGTATACTAATTAATAATATATATATTAGAGGAAGGAAGTTACTTGTAATTATGTTATTTTTTATTGTTACTTTGTTTTAACAACAATTTGATAATGACATTGCAAACTCTTTATCAGGAGACACGGTAATGTGGCGATAACAACACACGTAGCGATTAGCGCGAGACCGATCGTGTAACTTTTGTGTGCGTATGTGAGTCAAGTTTTTCTCAATAAGTGTTCAAAAACGCGGCAGTCGGCCTCGTGAATCGAATTAAGCATTAAAGTTCGAGACTTTAGAAATTAATGACCATTTGCACCAATGTACATTTCTAATCTTTAGAACTAGGAAAAGACGAAGAGTAAGTTGAATTGAGATTAAAGTTAATCTACATTGGTGGAAACGGGCATAAGACATCTGTCATACCGATTAGATACAGCGCTATATATACATTTTGCTTTAAGTACATAAATTCTCTGTTTCACAAATACAAATTCACTACTTTAAAAGCACAAGTTTACTGATTTAAAAACACAAATTCATTATTTCAAAAACAAGAATTTACTGCTTTAAGCGTATAAATTTGCATCAGTAGTGAATTTGTGTTTTTAAAGCAGTAAATTTGTACTTTTAAAACAGTGAATTTATGTTTGTGAAGTAAAGAATTGCAAATATTGCAAAATGGTAGAGGACTTTTGACTCAGTTTAATCTGCTCTATCAGCACACGAAATATTTGGCGATCATTTTGGGACACCCTGTATATAACGTTTGGTGTACAAATATGAATTTATGTAAGGTGTTAAAATATCAAATATTAGCATATTTGGATTGTATACATTGAATTGTCAATTTTAAAATTTGTACGTTGAAATTTATGTTGACAATTTTATTTTATAATGACAGTAATTGCAATTATCTTCTATCAAAATTTGCTTTATAACAAAATTTGGGGTAAAAGTGTATCTTTACACAGCCCGCCCCAAATGACTTCTCACTGACTTTGATGTTCAAGAAAGACGAGGTCATTTATCTTTTCCGTCATTCATTATTCATTAAAAAATTATTTTAAAAAATTTGAAAAAAGATGTCTGTTTTCTACTACATAAAATAGATATTTCCTACTTTTAAATATATTTTACGATTTTTTTAGGCGATACCAGTTCAATTCCATTTCTATCACCTTACCAAGAAGACTTCCATAATTATAGATACTGTTGCACGTAGGTTTCGATTTTTCATGCAAAGCAATTTTACCCGACTTCGCCCCCCCCCCTGCCAAGGGGCGCACAACGTTTATAATTATACTGTTGTATATAGGTTTGTGCCCTTGGCAAAGGAAGAGGTGGGGTGAAAGTCGCTTCGTGTAAAAAGTCGTAAAATATATTTTAAAGCAGGAAATGTCTATTTTATGTAATGGAAAAAAAAGATTGTTACGTCCTGTCCTTTGTATAATTTTGCTTTCTCTTTTTTTTGTTTTTTCGTTTCGCGTTGAATTATTTTTTTATTATTTAGTCTCACATCTATCTAAGGTATTTCTGTTAATTAATTGCGGATATTCCTAGCGAGAAACTTATCAGGCGTAGTATGATTCTGTCATGTTGACACCGCGTGACACGTGTGTCCAATCAAAGCATCTGTGAAGCGCGTATCGCGTGCCGATGTATGTATGTATGTATATATATTTGTTTTTTTCCTTAGGATTACACATTATTTATAATAGCTCTTACACTAACTTAAACACTAACTTAATTTAACCTACATCTATTCCGCTTTCTCTTTCTCTCTCTCCTCTCCCCCCTACTCGCACTTGCCCGCTCCGTTTACATTTTTTGCCTTTCCTTACTCTCTCTCGTCCATTCCCTCATTCACTCATACTCTCCCTCCCCCCCTCCTCCCTGACTCTCCTCCTCTCTGCCTCCGCTTTTCTCATCCATCCCTTTCTCTTTCTCCCTCCCCCCCCCCAGGATCCTCTTATATGCTTCCTGCCAACTATCTTCTCCCTCTTTCCAGCTCCTGCATTCCTCCCAGATATGCTCCCAAATCTCCCTTTGTCCTCCGCATAACCAACATATCATCCTATTTTCTTCCTCCCAATACTTCCCTTCCATCATCTTATCAAGCCTAAACCTTGCTATCCTCTGCCATCTACTTTCCCTTCATCCTTTCTCCAAATATTTGGGCACTCTCTCCTCTTTTACACATCCATACTAAATCTCGATTCTCTTATCCATTCCCATCTTTTTTCCCTCTGCCTGATTTTTTTCCTCTCCTCTAATCGTAGATTTGAGGATAGCATTTGATAGAGGAGTGTTGATAAGATCTATGAGGGAAAGAGGAATAGGAGAGGAATTAGTGGAGAAGGTGGAGGAATTGTTAACAGAGGCAAGGAGTAGAGTAAGAGTGGGAGGTGGGTTGGGAAGGGGGTTTTGGATGGCAAGGGGTGTAAGACAGAGATGTCCGGCAAGCACTGTTTAATATATTGATGGCGGATCTAGAAGAGGAAATGAGTAAGGTAAAGTGGGGAGGGATAAGGCTAGGAGAGAAGATGATATATTCGCTGTAGTACGCAGATGATGTGGTCTTGATGGCAGAGAAGGAGGGAGAGATGAAGATAAATTTCTATGCTAGAAAGATTAGAAAGATACTTGGATAGGAAAGGACTTGAGTTAAATGTAGGGAAGACGGAGATGTTAAGGTTCAGGGAGGGGGGAGGCAGAATGAGTAGGATGAGTTGATGGTGGAAAGGAAAAAAGATTGAAGAAGTGAAAGAATACAAATATTTAGAGTATATTTCAAAGGAATGGAAGACAGGAAAGACATATGCGGGATACTAAAAGCAGCGACAATAATGGGACAGGTGTGGGAGATAGAGAAGAGGATATTTAGCAGAAATTGGAGAAGAAGGGTATGGATGTTTGACACTTTAGTATGGACAGAGTGTTGGGGTATGGAGTGGAGATATGGAGTTAGAAAGAAAGAAAAGGGATAGAAAAGTGCAGGAAAGGTTCTGGATGCTTGGAGTAGAGAAAAGGGAAAACACCGGGTTATTTAGTGAAGGAAAAAATGCAGAGGGAAATGATGAGAAGCAGAGGAGGGCATAGGGTTTTGAAGAAAGATTGGATATGGGAAAGGGAAGCGAATTAATGTGGGCATATAGGAAAGAAATAAGAGAGAGAGGGCGCTAGGGGGAAAAGACGTATCTAAATGGAAGAGGGAGAGGAGACAGTTTTTTAAGGATAGAAGAATGAAGATACAGAAGTGGGACAGACGGGGAATGGAGGAAGATAGAAAGTACGAGGAATTAGAGGAGAGGAAAAAGATCAGGCAGAGAGAAAAAAGATGGGAATGGATAAAAGAATCGAGATTTAATATGGATGTGTAAAAGAGGAGGGAGATGCCGAAATATTGCCGCCATTTTCCCTCCCTTTTTCCCAATTTGTTTACCAAATAATTTAGCGTATATATATTTTATCTATCGTTCCCATCCCCTTTCTGAATCCCGTTTGATTCGATGGAATCACCCCTTTCCCTCCACTTCCTCTCTCAACCTTTTCGCTAACGCCATCGTATATACCTTGTACAACGATGGCATTATAGTCACCCCCCCTATAATCCTACAATCACCCCCCGTCCCTTCTTTTTAATTGGCACGATTATACTCTCTCTTCACTCCTCCGGCCATCCCTCCAAACTTTGTTGCATAACCATCACGCCCATTCCTCTATTCCTTCACCATATCTCCACACCTCATGTGAAGGCCACTCTATCCACTCCTATCGCTTTACCATCCTTCAGCCTCCTTATTATCCTGTTTATTTCCCCCCCCCCTCTCCAAATCCCCTTCTCCGTCTATCCTTCTCCCTCTCTCTATTTCTCTTATTACCTTGTTTTCTACTCCGCCTAGTTGTTTACAAAAAAAATCCTTCCTATTTTATTTCTATATCCTTATTCAATCCTTTTCACCTTTTCCTTTCCCTGTTAATCACTCTCTACATCTGCCCCTCCGTTCTTGCTTCCCCTCTTCCCTCTCTCATCTTTTATTTTCCTCTTATCTTTTTCTCTCACATAACTCTCTGTATTCCCTCTTCTCCCCTCTATACTCCTATCTCTCTTTCAACCCTTTCCTCTATGTCCTCAACTTCTTCCTAATTTCCTTTTTTTTCCTTTTACATTCCTCATTCCACCATCCTTTCATTCTTTCCCTCTCTCCTTCTCTATCTTTCTCTACCTTTCCATAGTTTCTCTCACTCTTGTTCTTTTTCTTAATATCTATACTTTTCCCTCTATCATTTTCACTCTTCCTAATACTATTTTAAATATTGTAATTTTCTTGCTTCCTCGTCTCGTATTCCTCTATTCATATTCCTTTCTCTCTCCCTTTTTTTTTCTATACCTCACCTTTTCTTATACATATCACTATTGGATGGTGATCTGAGTCTACCTGCTCTCCTATCTTCAGACTCATCACTTCCTCCCTTATTTCCTCGTTCACTAGCATGTAATCTATCACAGATACCCCCCTACCCCCCAGTGTACGTCCAATTCTCTTTCTCATCATTCCTAATACCCCCATTTACCATCCCCTCTCCTTAATATATTCTATCAGCCTCTTTCCTTCTTTATTCACTTTTCTGTCCATCGCGACCTCCTCTCTAATCTTTCTTCATCTCCCCGTTTTAATCCAACCCTTCCTCCTTTCTCTCTTGTCCACGCATTAAAATCCCCCCCAATTACCGTTCTTATTCCCCTTTCTCTCCCCTCTATCCATCTTCCTAATAGCTCCAATTTTCTTTCCATATTCCCATTTACATATTCCCCTACTTCCCCTTTTCGTATTTAATTCTTCCTTCTGTTATAGTCCCTTCCTCTCATATCCTCTCCCTCTCTTTGCTCTGCTAATTCCTTTTTAACTCCCACTATCATTCCTGCCATTGCTC